GGGGGGGGGGTGATGACATGTTCTACAATTAGATTATGGTGATAGCTGCCCAGTTCTTTAAATGTACTAAAAATCATTGAATTTTACACTTTAAGTGGGTGAACTTTAAGGCATGTAAATGATATCTCAATGTTATTATTATTTTTTTTAAAAAAAAAGATGGGTTAGGAACAAGAGAGAGGGGAAGAAGTGAAATGCTACTTTGCAATCTGGGGACCAGAGAGGGAATTCAGGGACTCAGGGCATCCCTGAACTTGAGGTGAGACGGGCAGAGCCAGGAGACAGGCTGGAAATCTAAGCGTCTTTGCATGCGACAGAACATTATCAGGATCGAGCTCCGGCCAGCTCTTCTTACCTAAAAAACCATGTCTTCATTTTTTTTTTTTTTTTACAATAGTTGGTTCTGCTTCAAAGAACAGACAAAAAAATGATAGAGCAGATGAGCTGTCACTGCCAACTCTTGGTTCAAAAGGAACAAAATTCACTGAAAACAACAATCCTAAGGCACAAGAAAAGGAAGGACTATCCAAAGACAACTGAAATAACTAATTTGAAGTGAAACTCAAGAGCACAGAATTGAGGGGGAGACCTACTGTCCTGTAAGGGAAATCCCATGAAAGGGTGAGTGGGGGAAGGAAAGAAACTGGTTGTGATTTGCATTGTCTCACCATCAGGGCCAGACAGATGGGAGAGCTTGTATTACAACATTAATTTCACAAATGTCTTAATTGATTCTCTGCAAATGTTCTTGGGTAATATCTGCATTATTTTTCAGGTGAGAAAAAAGATAAACTCTGATGCAAAAAAAAGCCTATCACTGGTCAACAATTTATTTGTCTCTGTTAAGAAAACCCTGATGAAATGTAGGATCCAATCCCAAGACTAGTATTTCTGCCTTTCTCCCATCTGCATTAGCAGTGGGGTCTTTAATCAATCATGTAGCTTATTGAATAATAGCTTTTAAAAGACACGAAACATCTCTTTATATAAAAAGGCCTGTGCTCTCCATCAGGAGTGATGTTGCCAGAAAAAGCACATATAGAAGAGATTTATCCATAATCCTGACCCTACGTTATCACCATGAACATAGCTGGTGGCCTTCCTGCAGGATGGTCACACTTATACCAGAAAATGACCCGTGAGGGAATGCTCAAGGAAACTGTCAGCTTTGCTAACACAAGAGAACCTCCCGATCAGTGACACACATCACCCATCTCACAGTCCCAGCCAACTCTCCTAATCCTGACGGAATGGTATGTTCTTCCTCAGGCAACTGATAATCAGGAGGTTCATCTAAGGGGCATGTCGATCACTCTTCCAGGGGCCCCGATTCTCTAGCCTGTCTCCTGTGTCAGGTCAGACGTCTAGAAAGCTCTCTGCCCGAATACCAAACTTTAAGCTCCTTGTAAAAACGCCTTCAGGGAAACATGACTTAGCCACGTGCCCTCAGATTTCTTCCTTTCTTTTTTTCTTTTTTTTAGAGGGTGATGAGAACATTTTTGTATCTTTTGTATAACTGCTCTTCCTTCTTGCTTTCTCCTCTCAACACCTATACCCTCTTCATTCCCTGGCATGTGGCATGTGAACCCTTCTAAATAATTTATTTTTTTTAAATATATCTTTATTTATTTCAGAGAGAGGAAAGGAGAGAGGGAGAGAGAGAGAGAGAGAGAGAGAGATAGAAACATCAATGATGAGAGAGTCATTGATCGAGCCCACAACCTGGGCATGTGCCTTGACCGGGAATCGAACCCCTATCGCCTGGATCCTAGGTCAACGCTCAACCGCTGAGCCACGCCCAGCCAGGCTAAATAATTTTCTTGACTGTATCTTTTGTTGACTGTGTCTTTTGCTACTTAAGAGTAGGTGAGTAATTAAAATGGAAATGATTTAAGGAGAATGAAATAATTCCATCTGGCCTTAATCTTCTATCCAAATACAAAAAGCAATGGAGAAAAAGAAATGAGCTCTGAGAAGCCATTCGGAACCGCAGAGGTCCTGTTCTCGGCAGCCACTCTAAGGTCTCCAAAGCAGTCTACCCTCGTCTTTCCCCTCCCCCCATAAATCAAGCGGGGGGTATGACAGCTGGGCTTAGCTGGCCGGGCAGCTCATCCTCTCCGAGCTGGGGACATGTGCTATCCATCATGGTCTGAGGTCTCTTCCCTGGGAGAATCTTTTGGAGAGAGGAAGACCATTGTTTGTGAGACCCCACAAATGTTTTACTGCCTCGTTCTCTGGACCCTCACCCCGTCATTATTTGTCATCCCCTTGGTCCACCTAGGAGTGGCCACAGGGAAAGAAAAGAAAAATTATTTGGCCACAGCAGTGAATGCCAGACCAGGAAACCTCTGTGGGGAAGGCGGTGGAGAGGAGAGAGAGCTCAGGGCGATGTGGGACTTAGATTATCTGCACTGCCGGAGACAGGGCCCATCCCCCCCTCCTTCATTTAAGCCCCAGCTCCTGGCAGGGGGCTGGGCTACACAGGAGGGTCTGGTCAGTGCCCTTCCAGTCCTGGCCCTCCCCGCCCCTCCCAGCTCTGGGCCCTTCAGCCTGTCCTGCCCCGCTTGGGCCTACATTTCCCTGCTTGTCAGTTGAGAATAGACAGGCTGATGCTAAGGCCCCTCTAGCTTTATATTCAGAGAGTCTCACGTGGAACAGTGCTGGCCTGAGAATCTGTACTTTAGAGCAGGGCGGGTGCACTATGGCCTGCAGGCCACATCTGGCCTGCCACCTGTCTTCAGCCTGTGAGCTGAGGATGGTTTTACATTTTTAAATGGTT